ATGGCATCCGGGTCACGGCCCCCCCCCCTCAGCTCATCAATTTGATTCCTGACTCTCTCCTCTTTCTCCGGCGAGTACTCCCGGCTCGTGTCCGATTGGTTAAATCTAGACTGGAACCTTTTAATGATCTTCCACACTAGGGAAGGATTGGAGTCCTTCCTGAGGCTCTCGCAGAACTGCTTGAATCTCTCCTGCTTAATCTTGCGTAGTTCGCATCTCGTAATTGCAATTCTTTTCTTGTATTTAATAAAATCTGTGCGCAATCCGGAAAGCTTGAATTTCGCGAGAGCTTCCCTACGGAGACGTAATAGGTCATCACATTCCTCCGTCCACCAAGGGCACGGCAAGTCAGGCTTGAGAGCTCTTCTTTTGTCGTGTTTTCTGCGGTACTGTCTGGAGGGCGTAGCCTCCACAATCGCCCCCTCGATGGTCGCGACAAATGTCGCGTATAGGGTCTCCAAGTCCATGGACTCATACTCCGGTATACTCTTAAGCCTGTTATCCAGTAGCGTTTGAAACCTGTTCCAATCCGTATCCTTCCCATACAAGCGCGGGTTCCTCCTAAACTTGACCTCGGCGTCCGGGTTCATCTCGGTCTTAATGAAGATGGGAAGATGGTCGCTTCCCCACGCGTCCTCCCCCACTCTCCAGTCCAGGCGCATTGCTAAGGAAACATGTGCTATTGTTATGTCTATAACAGTATTGCATAAATGAGTGGCGTTGTGATAGGTAAGCGCTCCATCATTTATAAGTGTCATGTTGTGCCCGGGGGTGTGAGGGGCACAAGAAGAGGATCCGACTCCGCGGGGGAACGGGACTTACTACACTTTATTATAAAATAACTCCGACACTCGATATCAACTTTTTAAATATAATATATCCCATAAAAAATCTTTTTAAAAAAAGAAAGAATATACGCCAAGTACCTAAAAAAATGTGTTGATCAAAAATAGTTGTAAAATCAATAAAATTAACCAAGTACTTTATTATTAAAAAAAGATCTCAAAAAAGCTTATTTATGAAAAATATTCAAAAATTGAAAAATGGAAAAGTGATAAACTAGATTATAATGAAGAAAAACTTGGGGTGCCCGAGTCGCATTAATTGCATTTCTGTATTA